AGTCAGGGTCGAAATGCAGGGCTGGGTCCTGTCTTTTTTTTCAAATTCTTTTCATTGTGGCTGTTCTGTGTTGATTTTGCTTTTAACAAATACATACTGCATTAAAATATTATTTATCTTGAATACTGAGCTTGCAGGCACCCTCTTGAATTTTGCACCCAAAGCGAATGGCTCACTCCTCCTCCTAGTCCCAGCCCTGCTGTGGTGCAGGATACAATACAGTGATGGAGACTCAGCCACACTTTGAGGGCTGCGCCCCACCTGGGCATCTCGGAGACCCCTGTGGCTGGAGATGGCCTCTCAGGCCCACGAGCTCCTCTTCCCTGACTCCCAGTCTTTGCCCAGGGTCCAGGGAACACTGAGGGCTACAGGGTTGCTCCAAGGCACCATGTGAGGTGGAGGGACAGCTCCAGTCTAGGAGTCAAGAGACCCTGGGCTAGCTGACGTCTCCTCCCCCTTTTCTCTGGACTTCAGCTTCTCCTTGTGTACAGTGGGTATTAATGAGCTCAGAAGGTGAAAGGGACAGAGTTGTATGGGGCAGGCTGTCCAGGGTATTGGACACCAGTAGCCTGGGGGGAAAGGCATGACGGAGCCTTCGGATCCCAGCCTCTAGCCTAGCATCTGACTCTGGTCAACAGAGAGGGTGCAACAAACTCAGTCATCAAGAGAAATCATATGTCAGTGTAATATTTTTAAAAATCACATCAGCAAACTATGGCCCAAACTGCTTGGGCTCAAATCCTGGTTCTGACCTTAACTATGTGAACTTGAGCAAACTCCCAGCCTCGGTTTCCTCATCCAGAAAATGGAACCCCAAACCACTTGATGTCAATTTGACTCCAACTGACGGCGACCCCATGCGTGTCAAAGTGCAGCTGTGCTCCATAGAAGTTTCAGGGGCTGAGTTTTCAAAGTAGGTTGCCAGGGCTTTCTTCCTAGGTGCCTCTGGGTGGACTTGAGCCTCCAACCTTTCCATTGGTAGCCAATCCCATTAACCATTTAAAAACCCAAACCAAACTCACTGCCGTCGAGTCGGATCTGACTCATAGCAACCCCTCTTTGGGTTTCCTAGGCAGTATCACTACGGAAGTAGATTGCACAACCTTCCTTCCGAGGAGTGGCTGGTGGGTTTGAACCTCCAGCCTTCTGGTTAGCAGTCAAGTGCCTTAGGCACTACGCCACCAGAGCTCCTATTAACCATTTGCACCACATATAAAATGGAGACACGTGTAACAGCAATCCCCAGATTAAGTGAAATGCTGCATTGGAAGCACTTTCGCAATGCCTGGCACTCAAGGAAGCAGCCACAGTGGTGCAGTGGTTAAAGCGCTCATCTGAGGACCAAAAGTTCAGTGGTTCAAACCCACGAGCTGCTCCACGGGAGAAAGACCTGGTAGTCTGATTTTTGTAAAGATTTACAGCCTTGGAAACCCTATGGGGCAGTTCTTCTCTGTCCTATAGGGTCACTATGAATCAGAATCCACTTGATGACAGTGGGTTAGTGGTTTAGCACCCAAGGAGCACTAAATAACAGCGACCAGCACTATTATTATTAGTTGCTCTCATAATGTTAGAGATCCGTAATCAAAAGAAGTGGACATTCGTAGGCAAGGAGCCCCCACAGCTATCCATACTAAGAGCTTAACGCAACCCAATGCACTGCTTTCGAGTTGGACCCGACTCGAGTTGGACCTCGGGTTTCCTAGGCGGTATCACTACGGAAGTGGGTTGCTCAGCCTTCCTTCCTAAGGCTTATTATAAGGAGCTCTGGTGGCGCAACTATTAAGTGCTTAGATGCTAACTCAAAGTTGGTTTGAACCACCCAGTGAGACTGCAGGAGACATGGTGATCTGCTCCCACAAAGATTAAAAACCAAAAACTCACTCCCATCAAGTCGATTCCAGCTCGTAGCAACCCCCATTGGGTTTCTGAGGAAGTAAATCCTTACGGAAGTAGATTGCCCAACCTTCCTTCTGCAGAGCAGCTGGTGGGTTTGAACCTCCAACCTTCCGGTTAGCAGTCAAATGCCTTAGGCACTTGACTGCTAACCGGAAGGTTGGAGGTTCAAACCTACCAGCCACTTAAAGATCTTCCCATAAAGATTATAGCCTAGAAACCCTATGGGGCAGTTCCACTCCTTCACATCGGGTCGCTGTGAGTCGAAGATCTACCTGACGGCCCTTCCCACGTGCCAAGGACTGTTCAAAGCACTTTATGTTCATTGGCTTGTTGAAGCCTCACGACAATTCCCTGGTGCGTTAGCTCAGGATTAGTATTACCGTGGTGGCACAGTGGTACTTTCAGGTACTAACCAGAAGGTCAGCAGTTCAATCCCACCCAGCCGCTCTGCAGAGAAGAGACTTGGCTATCCACTCTGTAATCTGTAAAGATTACAGCCTCGGAAACCCTAGGGGGTCGTTCTGCTGTCACATGGGGCCACTATGAGTCAGAATCGATTCAACGGCACCCAGCAAGCATCAGCCCCATTTTTCAGTTGAGCAAACTAAGGCACTTGGAGTCCTGGCTGTAGCTGACAGTCTGGCTCCCAAACCCTGGTCCTTTACCTGTGTCATTGCACAGACATCCTCACGTGCAAACCAACCCAGATGCGCACTCACACACTACCAGCCACAGCCTCACCCATTCTGTCACATGCTGGACCTCCTGCCCCTAGAGTCACTCACAGGCCCTAGAGGTACTCTCGGCCATACTCCAGGTCACATAATCTCACAGTCACACGCCAAGGCCACCTATCACACACAGAGACACACTCAAGGACACAACACTCTGGCTTCTCACACCCACCATATGCCAGCGCTTCGTGGGCCCTCGCCCAATGTCTCTCCCATGGAATTTTTCCATTAATACAGCCCCTGAAGATTATGGTGAGTGGGGAAACCTCCAGTCTCTTCAGTGGACATGTAGACATCTGAAACCCAGGACAGAAAGAGACCAGCCAAAGCACACAGCCCCAAGGCCGTGGCTCAACTGGCCTGGACCTCCACCATTTAACCTGGCTCCACCTTGGCCACAGGGACCGCTTGCTCAGTCAATAGGTCACTAGGGATCCTGGCCTTTCTCTTTGCCCAGACTCAGTGCCTGGGCTGAACTCCAGCTCCCAGAAAAGCTGGGGGATCGTCTCGTTCCTCTGGCTGCCCCTCGCTCAGCTGGGGCCCCGGAACAGAGTGGGGAGAACGAGGGAGACCTCCCACGCCCCATCTGGGGCCAGCCCCACTTAGCTGGGAGCTGAGGCCCCATCCTTGCTGCCTGCTTTTACACCACACCATCTTTCTACCAGGCGAGTGTGCACCCTGCAGCCCTGACCCAGCCTCAGGCCAGCCCCTCTCTCTCCACACACGTGCACGGAAAAGCAGGCACACACGTGTGCCCGTGCACACACCTGTCTGCTCCCACCTCCTCCTCTGTCTTCTCTCGAGCTCTTCCCTGCCTCCCCACTTCTCCCCATTTGATGGAAGAATCCCACTGGGGCTCCCAGCACTCAGGGAGTGAGAAGGAGCACCGGGTTCTAATCATACCACCTGTGTGGCCATGGCAGCGCCTTGTGGCTTCTCTGAGCCACAGCTGGCTCACAGGGAAATGGGGACGGGAACAGACATCCTCCTGTTGTTGTGGTTGTTGCTATGTGCCGTTGAGTCGGACCCGACTCATAGTGACCCCTCCTTGGGTTGCCGAAGCAGTATCACTCCCGAAGTAGATTGCCCAACTTCCTTCCGAGAAGTGGCTGGTGGGTTTGAACCACCAGCCTTCTGGTTAGCAGCCAAGTGCCTTAGCCACTATGCTACCAGAGCTCCCAGCCTTCTGGTTAGCAGTCAAAAAACCAAAGCCTTTGCCGTTGGCTCAGTTCTGTCCCATGGCGCCCCCATGTGTTACAGGGTAGAACTGTGCCTCACAGGGTTTTCTTAGCTGTCATCTTATGGAACTAGATTTGGTGAGGGGGTGGGGAGACGACAAACACGACTCAACCGCCATCGAGTCAAGCCAGACTTATAGGTTTCTAAGGCAGTAAATCTTTAAAGAAGTAGATTGTCCCATCTTCCTTCCATGGAGTGACTAGTGGATTTGAACGCCCAACTTTCTGGTTAGTGGTCAAATGCCCATGCCACCAGAGCTCCTTATGGAAGCAGGCTGCCAGCCCTTTTATCTAGGTACCACTGGGGTGGTTTGAACCTCCAACCTTTAAGTTAGTAGGTGAATGCAAACTCTTTGCACCACCCCAGGGTCCTCCCTAGGGATATTTAAAAGAAACATTGCCATCAAGTCATTTCATTTCTGACTCTCATCGACCCTATAGGACAGAGTAGAATTGCCCAGTCAGGACTGATAAGCAGACTGCCATATCTTTCTCCCACGTAACAGCTAGTGGGTTCAAACTGCCGACCTGCAGGTTAACAGCGGAACGTTTCTCCCTAGGGCTGTTACCGCAGTTAAGTGAGATAATTTTATTAAGTGCCTTGCACCATGTCTGGCATCCAGTAAACACTGAGTAAATGAGAGTTTTATGAAGCCAAGTAGCTGAATGAAAAGCTTTGACATTTTGTCAGCACTGGATACCAAGTGTCTCCCAACTCCTGCCCCAGGAGTCAAGCAGAACAGGCTGCGCCAGCCGTTTCCAGATGAGAAATCCTGCCCCGGAAGTCAAGCAGGACAGGCCACGGCAGCTCAGAGTCTGAATGGCGGAGTAAGACTGAGGACTCAGGTCCGTAGATTCCAAAGCCACCCCACGCTGCTGGCAAACCCTTTCACGGCTGGGTACATGCATTATAAATGACGTGTGAGGGGACCCCTAAGGGAGGGTGCTGCTGTTTGGCCTTTAACTCTGAGCAGACAGGGACTGTGTTCTAGTGCCTTCGGAACCATCAGAGACGTCCAGCTGCCCAACCAACGCCCATGTCCTCTCTTTCCAGGTGATGGCTTCCCCCTGAGGAAGCCCTGTAGTGCGCCTAGAGGAAGGGACTGCCCCCCAGCCCCACCTGGCCACCATGAACACCTCGGCCCCGCCCGCCGTCAGCCCCAACATTACTATCCTGGCACCGGGAAAGGGCCCCTGGCAAGTGGCCTTTATTGGGATCACCACTGGCCTCCTGTCACTGGCCACGGTGACAGGCAACCTGTTGGTGCTCATCTCGTTCAAGGTCAACACAGAGCTCAAGACTGTCAACAACTATTTCCTGCTGAGCCTGGCCTGTGCCGACCTCATCATAGGCACCTTCTCCATGAACCTCTATACTACCTACCTGCTCATGGGCCACTGGGCCCTGGGCACGCTGGCCTGTGACCTCTGGCTGGCCCTGGACTACGTGGCCAGCAACGCGTCCGTCATGAACCTGCTACTCATCAGCTTTGACCGCTACTTCTCTGTGACGCGGCCCCTGAGCTACCGCGCCAAGCGCACGCCCCGCCGGGCCGCCCTCATGATTGGCCTGGCCTGGCTGGTTTCCTTCGTGCTCTGGGCCCCAGCCATCCTCTTCTGGCAGTACCTGGTGGGTGAGCGGACAGTGCTGGCCGGGCAGTGCTACATCCAGTTTCTCTCCCAGCCCATCATCACCTTTGGCACAGCCATGGCCGCCTTCTACCTCCCGGTCACCGTCATGTGTACCCTCTACTGGCGCATCTACCGGGAGACGGAGAACCGGGCACGGGAGCTGGCCGCCCTGCAGGGCTCGGAGACACCAGGCAAGGGGGGCGGCAGCAGCAGCAGCTCGGAGCGATCCCAGCCCGCGGCCGAGGGCTCGCCCGAGACCCCTCCAGGACGCTGCTGCCGCTGCTGCCGGGCCCCCCAGCTGCTGCAGGCCTACAGCTGGAAGGAGGAAGAGGAGGAGGACGAAGGCTCCATGGAGTCCCTCACGTCCTCGGAGGGTGAGGAGACCGGCTCCGAGGTGATGATCAAGATGCCCATGGTGGACCCCGAGGCACAGGCCCCCGCCAAGCAGCCTCCCCGGAGCTCCCCGAACACAGTCAAGAGGCCCACCCGGAAGGGGCGCGAGCGAGCCGGCAAGGGCCCGAAGCCCCGGGGAAAGGAACAGCTGGCCAAGCGGAAGACCTTCTCCCTGGTCAAGGAGAAGAAGGCGGCTCGGACCCTGAGTGCCATCCTGCTGGCCTTTATCCTCACGTGGACACCATACAACATCATGGTGCTGGTGTCCACCTTCTGCAAGGACTGTGTCCCCGAGACCCTGTGGGAGCTGGGCTACTGGTTGTGCTACGTCAACAGCACTGTCAACCCCATGTGCTACGCACTGTGTAACAAAGCCTTCCGGGACACCTTCCGCCTGCTGCTGCTCTGCCGCTGGGACAAGCGACGCTGGCGTAAGATCCCCAAGCGCCCTGGCTCCGTGCACCGCACCCCCTCCCGCCAGTGCTGATGGCCCCCCTCGCCCACACCCTACTATCCCAGACTCCGGGAAAGGCTGGTGGAGACCAGCCGGGGGCCGTGTCCTCCGCCCCAGGGCCCGGCTCAGGCCTCACCCGTCTCCCCAGACTCCTGGGTCACCTGCCTGGACCGCCCAGAGAGACCCTGCCAACTTTCCAAACTTTGCTATTCCCAGGCAGGGAGTGCAACCTGGGCAGCTGGTTTCTCTGTTCCTGGCTGGGTGGGAATGAGCTCTCCACCAGGAAGAGTGCCCGGAAGGAGGATCCGGGCTTTGGACTCCTTGTTTGCGTTTAGGCAGGAAGGCCAAAGCCAGCAGGGTGGCGGACCGGGAGACAAAAGGTTTAATGTTACAGTTGTCCTAGGCCAAGTGGCTGGCCCAGATTTGGGTGGGATATGGCTCCCCCTGGAGGCCACAGTGGGGCACTGACACCAACCACTGAGAATGGAAAGCTTGGCTCAGAGGGACATCCCTGGGCTGGGGACCCCTTCCCTCCCACCTGAGCAGGCAGAGCCCTCTCACCAGGCCCTAGGCACGTTATCCGGGATGGTCCAACCTCTCTACAGTTGTCCACAGAGCATCCCTGTGTGGATCACCTTGTAGTCAACACTTCCAAGCATCAGCAGGACAGTGACACCAGAGGGGACCAGCTTGGCTAGTCACACATGGAGTTCTAGGCCAGCAGCAGACCTGGCCACTCCATCATGGGAAGGACCGGGTGCCTGCTGTCTAGCCCCACACTCACACCCTCTGTCCCGGAGATACCCTCATTCCCCACCCTACCCCTGGCTCACAGCCTCCACCCAGATGGATCTGCTCCATGCAAATCCACCCAAGCCTCCTGCATGCTGCCCACCTACCGGCCTGCCTCCCACAGGCCTGGCCCAGCCAGCAGGTTCTCTCCTGTGAGTGCCCCAATCCCACCCATGCATGGCCTCCCAGACACCCTTGTCTCCAGGCCTAGCCTGGCCCCTAAATGTTCTTTTCTTCCACCCTCAGCAAGTGCTGAGTCTGTGAATAAAGCCACATGACCAGTGGGCTCTAAGGGGCCTCCTCCCTGTGCTGGCTTGAGGCCCTGGTCAAAGGTCAAGGCAGGATGGAGCAAGGAGGGCTCGAGAGCCCTGTGCTGTGGCTGTTGCCCTGACAGAGGTTCTGGTGGGGAGGGGTGGCGCTGAATGGCCGGGTCTGTGGAAGTGGTTGGGCTCAACAGCTCGGGCTCCCTGGCTTAGGTGAGTGGGGCTGTAACAGACAGCCCCGGAAGTGGGACAACTAAAAGAAACGGAAGGCCCTGTCTGCATCCTGGGTGGCCCAACAGTGAAATGCTTGGCCGCTAACTGAAAAGGGCGGTGGCTCAGATCCACCCAAAGGTTGTCTTGCAAGAAAGCCTTGCGATCCTGTTCCAAGAAGTCACACCCATGAAAACCCTCTGGGGCAGTTCTACCCAGAACACACCAGGGCAATCAGTTGGTCCGTGTCGCTCCCTATTCCCTGTTGGTTCCCACTAAACATCGCTACTTGGGGCCATCACACCCAGGGAAAACAGAACTTCTGCAAAGCCCCTTCTACAGATGGGGAGGCTGAGTTCCAGAGACCCGGAAGGACTTCAGGGTAACCCACAAAGCCACACACAAGCTTCCAGGCAATTCACAGCCTCCTGCTCCCTGGACTGTGGGGAGGGGACCTGGGACACTCCAGGCCCAAACATTCCATCAAGGGAACCCTCAGACCAGTTTATGAAGCACTTCATTGGTGAGGGATCCCCAAAACCTACAGCAAAGTAAGAGAGGTTAGCCCATGGCCTGGACCAGTGGTTCTCAAAGAGTGATTCTGACCAGTATTGCCTGGGAACTTGTTAGAGAGGTGAATTCCCCGGTCTCCCCAGACCTATTGAATCAGACACCCTTGGCGTGGAGACCAGCCATCTATATTAACAAGCCCTCCAGGTAGCTCTGATGCTGCTAACATTTAAGAGCCACGGGCCTAGAGGGATGAGGTCCGGGGTGGGGCCAGACTTTTGCAGAGGCTTCACTCCCCACAGGCAGGACTCCCAGGAGGCTAAGAGGAGGAAGTTCTTTATGTGGTCACTGAAAAGGCAGACAGCACCACCATGGGGAAGAGTCTAGGACGTAAACCCTACCAGCAACATGGCTTCCTGGATTGTCAGCTTAATACCCTGAGAGGGTCCCTCCCTGGCCACTGCCCCCTTATATCCCTGAGCCCCTCCCAGGGTAAATGCACTGGCCTGTGTTGGAGGCATCGGCTTGAGGTCTCGGGATGAGGAGAAGCTGAGAAAGCCCAGCAGGGTTGGAGGAGCCAGAAATTGGAAGGGAGACTAAGCTGGCCTCTGCCGCCAGGAATGGGATCAAAGCTGACATCCAGACCAAGACTGGGGCTAGCACTTGTTGTCCCTTGCCCCAGGCACATGTCCTACCTGCCTGTGTCCCTCGCCAAAAAACTTTAGGCCTGCCTCTTACTCTCCCCATCTTTGAAAGGGGGAGTTAAAGGATTAGACTCAGGGAAAGCACCTCGATGGTTCTGTGGTCAGTGCCATCATTGAAGGAGGCTACTCACAGGTAAAAGCCAGAAGGCAGGGCAGGTGTCAGGCCCAGCTCTTTCCCTACACTTCCAGGCTAGGCTTTGAAGAGCCGCCCAGAGTCCCAGCCCTCAACCCAAGGAGAGGAAACTGATCACCCAGCATGGCTGGCTCGGAGAAAGAAGTATTGGTCAGGAGAGGGTGTGTGGTCCAGAGAGACTTCCCAAAGATGGGGTCTGTGCCCTGGAAGTCTCTGAGGCAAGACTTCAGGCCCAGCCGCCAGAAGATGGAGGAAATGGCATGAGCCCCGCTGGGAGGGAGGGTGGCAGGCGATGGCATCCATCCACCCCAAACACAGCACCCCCTCCAGCCTGAGGGAGTCCTTCTTGGCCCCAGAAACAAGAGCCTGTTCGTGCTAAGCAGGAAGTAAGAAAAGAATGAGGTGGCTGTGTGAATTAAGTGGTACCTTCTCTCCTACCACTCCCACCAGGTTGGAGCAGGCCTGGAACAGAGACACATGTTAGGATCCTCTCCAATCCTGTGTCTGTCTGTCTGTCTCTCTCTCTCTCTCTCTCTCTCTCACACACACACACACCCCTATCCCTGCTGTATCACTCTAGCACACACCCGTATCCCTGCCATATCACTCTAGCACCACCTGCTGGCAATCAAGAATATAGCCTTGCCAAGAAATCAGGCACTTGGAACCTGCCCGGACCTGCTGCCCGGGAACAAGACCACAGAACAAATGATGGAGTAGGCGGTCTTGGCACTTCAGCTCCTGCGCCCAAACTTCAGCAGACACTCAAGGCTCCGGAAAGATCAACTGACTTGGCTATGACTATAAACCCTTGCCTACCTGCAGAGACAGGCCCTACCTTTCTGAGCAGTATGCCAACCTCATGAGAGAACTGAGGAACGGATGAGGGAAGGCTTGGCAGCTAGCGACCATTCCATCTTCTCCCAGTGCCTCCGCAGGCCTCTGGAATTATTGGTTTCAGTCTTTGGGGCCTGGCTTGGATTTCCCAGAACTCAAGCTGACCCAACAGGAAATTCAGACAGGTTCCTGCTCGCCTACAGAGGGTGAGAGTTTTTTGCATGCCCAGGTGGCCTGCACCAGTCCAGCCTCTAAAAGCTTTGAGGTTATTACCTTTGACGTCGTTGGTTTTAGCATCCTTAATAATGCACACACACTGCATAACTCCAGGAAACAGGGTTGCACGAAATAGACCTGGAAATGGTTGTCATTCTTCCCTCAAAGTCCCTGTCCCTCTCCTGCCCGCCCCCCCCTCCCCCAGTTCCACTGGTCCGGTTTGCATTCCTGGCCTGGCTAGCACCACCATTCACACAAGAGCCCCAGCCAGAAATCTGGGAATTATCCTAAGCCCCTCCTTTCACTGCGGTGCCCAGTCTACTTTCTGGAGAGTTTCCAAGTTTATTTAGTTTTATTTATCCCTGTGGCCACTAACCTACTGGGGGCTTCTTGCCTGAAATATTAACATAGTCCCTTAATTCAGAGGTTAGTAACCTTCTTCTGTGAAAGGCCAGAGAGTAAATACTTTCCATTCTGTGGACCAAGAGGCCAAGCCAAGGATATTATGAGGCCTTACGTGTCATACAGTCTCTATCGCAACCACGCGACGCCGGCATGACAGGACAAAGGCAGCTGTGGGTGATACAGAAGAGAATGAGCGTGACTGTGCTCCAATAAAACGTCATGGCATCTCACTGAGACTTGAACTGCACGTCATTTTCACTGGTCACACACTATTGTTCTTCCCTTGACTTTTTTTCAGTCATTTAAAAACATGACATTTATTCTTAGCTCATGAGCCACACAAGAACAGGCCCACAGACATAGTTTGCTGACGTCTGCCTTAGCTAGTCCTGCACCCATTTAGTCTCCTTGCCACAGCTGAAGTGACTTTGCCAAAACACAGATCGATGCTTTCAGTTCCTTGTTTACAACTAGTCAATAGCTTGAGGTAAAAATTCCAGCTCTTCACCTTCAAAGCCTTCCTAGTCAGCCCTAGTTATTTCTTTAGCCCCCTTCTTCCCTAAAGACCCTGGTCCCACCCTCTGAAATTCTCCTGGTCTTCACACAGGCCCCAAGGTCGCTCCATGTTTTCTTCCTTCCAGTTCCTCTGCTTGGAATATTCTTAGCCCGCTTCTCCACTGGAAGACGTCTATGCTTCCTTCAGGATACAGAGAGAACAGCCTGTGCCAGAGCGGGCTGCAGGCCACCCTCTGGGGACAGCAATTTGAGGAGATGGAGGAGCCGGTCGGAGAGGAGGCTGGGGTGCTAGGCACAGACCAGACTGGCAGGTAGAAGGTCTGGGAGGAGGTCCCCAGGGCAGTGGAGGCAGGGGATATACAGAGCTGTGTGGGGATGAGACAAGGCCCCTAAGTGGTACAAACGGTTTGCTTTTAACTACAAATTGAAAGGTTGCTGGTTCAAACA